GAGTTCGAGCCCCAGCTCCACCCTAAAGCAAGGGTCCTTATCTGGAGGTCTCCAAGTGGCTACAGAGCCTTTGAAGTTGTTTCTGCTGATGTGCGTTTTCTAGTTAGGAAGTTCTTAGTTATATCAGATTCTCAAGGTGATCTGGGAGGCAAGGGTGCAACAAAGTAGGTCCCATCCGAAAGACACACTTCTCACTTTTTAAGTGTTCACCTAAACAGCCAAGAAGCCTCGGTTTCCTCTCCCTCTTCAATCCGAGTACAGAGTGAGATTCCGGCTCGCCTGTTCCAGGGAAAGTTTAATTGGAAATGCGGGCAATAGAAGTTGGCCATCCGGGCTGCGCTGTTAGCAAGATGTTGGGCCTAGGGCCTTGCTGAATGGCAGGTCACTCAGCTCTAAAGTTGGGTTGTATGGCCTTACATCCTTGTGCCCCCAGGCAAACCTCTGGGACTGCGATTTCCCCGCCTGGAGGAGGGACACTATTCTCCTTGATCCCTGGTGCCTTTGGAGAGGCCGTGTCCCTTCGCCGTGGCTCCAGCCGGGCCCTACGCGAGCTGGGGGCCCTAAACACTGCCGGATGCTTGTGCTGCAGTCTCAGGGCTAAGAAGTCTGGAGAGGCGGCTTAGACTTCACAGACCGAGTATTCCCGAACCCGCCCCGGGCCTGAGCGTCTGTGGACGGATGTGAGGCTTCCAGCCGCCTCAGCGCTCGCAACCCGACCCCTCCCGCCAGACCCCGGACGCCGTCCGGGTAATAAAGTTCCCGCTTTAGTAATTCATTTTCCTTAATCTGGACTCCCCTAATCTACAGTTTTTATTGCGCCCAGTTAAAAGGCGAGGGAATTCGCTGTCCCTGCGCGCTCGGATAATTACCCCCTAAATGGTCACGGCAGCCCCTTGTGTTTCCTGGAGATTAGAACCCCGCAGTCATCAATGGTCGGTCCCGGAGAGCCGCCAATCACCGCCGCTAGCTCCCCGGGAGCCGCCAGCCTGGGCCCCGGGATAAGAGGCCATAAAGAGGAGGCGCAGAAAACCCGCCGAGCCCCAACCCCACTTTGTGTAAATCTTACTTCTCCCCACACCCTCATCTCATTTGCCTCTGTGTCTTTTAACAGCAAAAAATAAAATCACGTTTCCTCCGAAACTGACAAAATAAAAGTTCTCCAGCCCAGCACCAAGGATCCTGCCGAGAACAGTCATCTTTTCCCGGCCTTCTCTCCCAGATGTGCCTGTGCCACCACCCCACCGAGATCAGCGATCCAGAGACAGCGAGGTGTTACTGTTTCTGCGGGTGCGCTGTTCGAGGTCATGTTAAGGCCAGATCAGTGTTTTTTGACCTTCTGTTGGTTTTATATTCATTTAAGTTCTATATCAAAAGAACTAACCCCTTCCCCCAAGCCCGTCGCCGGTATACGTGTTGTAATCCTCCCAAAAGTAGTTCACAGAGGAGAAAGCGCACATCAGGTATGAAACTCGATTATCGATTCCGGGTAACAATGTATTCTTATTCTTAACATTCATAGCACCACAGGAGCGTGGCTTAGGCAAACTTCAGTCAGGCGCTTAGAAGAAGACAAAGGTCCACTTTCACGTAGAGGTAAAGTTTTGAAAATTGAAACAGAAGGAAATGAAGGCGTTTAAAAAAGAAACTATTATGTCTTTATACTGTAATACCTAACCCTGCAGGTTTTTTAAACTATAAAAAGGAATATGTAAGAAATGGCCTCAATTCGAATTATCGTGGTAGGGAAACTATCCTCCACTATTCACTAGGGAGAAACGGACAGCAACTGACTAAAGAGAAAGGTAAGAGGAGCGATAA